GGGGGATATCCAGCTTTAATGCAAAAGGCAATAGTGGGGGGGCTGGGGAAGGGGGAAGTCGAGCTTTGCTCTCAGCTATATTTCAGAGGTTGCGTGGAGGAATTGTTTAATATTGCAGGTAGGCAAATGTTAAGTCTCCTGGTGTCTACAGCATCTTGGAGAAATGAATTCCCGATTCTGTGATATAACTAAAACCTGGTGAAATTCGCGTGTTCTCCAACTCGGGATTTTTCAGAGAAAGCCTTCTAATCGTGATGCAAACGTGTTGAAAACTTTTGTATCGAACAATTACCAACTTAACAAGCTTTTTAAAGGTTGCAAGCCTTTCCAGGGGAACGTACAGGGCTTTATTACTGCTCTTGGTAGGAAAACCCTAGATACTGTAGTTAAACAGATTGCAGATCTGCATTGGACATTTTCAGCACAGATTTTCTGTGTAGTCTGTTGGTGTGATGTAAGAAAAATAACTAAGTTTGCATGAGAAAAAGAGATTAACTGTATAACCAGGCACTGCCAGTATTACTGAATGTAAAAATAGCCAAAAAGCAAATATTTGTCAAGTTATCCTGCTAAGGCATAATTTTGTTTTCCTAGATTTGGAAGTGTGTGATCAGACTCTTTTTAACAACAAAGTAGATCAGTTTGGAACAAAGTGGTTGAAATAAAATGTTACTTTCTGCCTGAGATCTGGCCTAAAAGTACATCAGTCTTATCTCCTCTTTGGGTGACAAAAGTTATATTGGTAAAATATAATTTACAATAAATCCCTGAGGCTTTGAAAAGCATTTTGGCAAATGAGGCACATCATCCTTTCAAACTTTTAGATCTAAATTTTTTCCATTTGTATTAGCATATACCATGTCTGTTTCAGAACATGAGCACATGTACACCCAGAGGAGAAACCTTACCTGGTATCTGATAATAGTTTTTTTTACAGCAGGGAAAGCTAGTTTGTTTTCAAGGTCATTTATTAATTTTAATTTTTTATTCATGCACACAATAAAGCAAATAGTTCTAAATTTCCAGCTTCTTTACGGAAGGCTTATGATATTTTTGCCATAGGTACCTTGCCATTCCTTCTAGACAATCAGAGGCCCAAGGAAATTAAGTGTGTGGGAACAGTGGATTGAAGTGAAAGTTATTAAAAGTCAGAAAGTTTGGTAATTCTGCAACAAGCATGAAACAAACTCTGGGACAAATTACTCGATGATCTTTAATATATAGCAGTGAAGCCAAGCTGTTTAATACACAATTCCAAATATTGCTGTTTCTCAAGAGAAATATATCTTTTAATTCATTTTAACTGTCATAGTCTACTATTGCATTGTAATATTACTACTTTCTTTATTTTTCAAAATATTATGCGGGTGTTGTAAGGCATTTTAAAGCTCGAAGGCCTCTGAGGAACGTATCAATAATTAAACAGATCTCAGAGTTATGTATGGATCAGTTTCAGAAGTAAGTTGATTTCTGCTTCAGGAGTAATATTACTGAAGCTATCTGTCACAGCGTGGTTGCTTTTATCATTTTGCATTTATTGCTTTTTTTGTCTTTTGACTTATTGTTTTAATTGCTGGAGGATGGCTTCCTTCATGATTATCTGTTGTAACCTACAGATCATGGAATCATCTGGTACACCCTCAGTGACCTTAATAGTAGGCAGTGGTCTTTCATGCTTGGCCTTGATCACCCTAGCCGTTGTCTATGCAGCACTATGGAGGTATGTAATGGATTGACAAAGCTGAATGTGAATACGTAGTTATATTTAGTTGAATTAAAATTTAAAGAGAGAATTAGAGGCAACATTTGTTATTTGGAAAAGGAAAAAACAGCAAAATGTAGTGCGTGTTTTGATGCCTAATTTTGTTGCTGTGATCGATTAGTCTTACTCTCTTGGCCTACTGGTGACGGTATAACTCACTCTTTCTGCTCTTCAGTGTGAATGGTATTGCTTTTTCAGTGGGCTATTCATAGTGCTAATAAACATTTCACAGATTTCTTTTATATGATATATTTCATGTGAGGCTTCTGGCCTATACCTTGGAATGCTTTTCCTCCATTTACATTTGAAAACAAAACTTCTATGTGATAAAAAAGACATATCAAAGAGCCACATCAGATATTGCAGATTTAGGGAGGTTCAGTCAATTGATTTTGAGTTTATCCACTTCTGTTATAAATTTAAACAAAGACCACAAAATGAAGTAGTCTCAAATAGTGTGGTGGTACATTTCAGTAACAGACTTTCTTTTCATCTTGAGTTTACTGTATTAAAATATTGGATTGACTCAAAAGCACAATAGATATTTGTGGAGAAAATTAATTTGAGAAGTGATGAGAAATAGAATGATGTGTTAGTGTAGAAGAAATAGAAAAGAAAAAGTCACATAAATTAATAGGTGGTTTTTTTTTAAGCAAACATGGGTTCTGTTTTCCATAATAAAAAAAAAAAAGGTTTTTAGGCAAGTAAGAAGAAATACACAGTGAAAATAACAATTTTTAGAGTAATCTAAAATCAACAGATATAATGTTACATTTAGAAGAAGCTGGATCATTTTACACCATTTTCTCTTTCACTCTGTTATGTAGCCACAGAGACGCACAAGATTGGATGTATATATAAGAAATATAGAATATCTAGGTACATAAGTTATAATAAAAAGAGTATAAGAATTATCGGTTCTGTCAAAACTAAGAATGAGAGTATTTCAGGATATAATTCCCATCTGAAGAATTATAGTGTTATTTTTGCACTCCCTGATATATTTAGCACTTGGATGGAAATGCTGTCATGCTCAGTGGAACTGGCTTCCTTCATTATTTAGATTACATACAAGGAAGAAGTTTTTTACAATGAGGGTTGTGAGGCACTGGCACAGGTTGCCCAGAGAAGCTGTGGCTGCCCCCTCCCTGGCAGTGTTCAAGGCCAGGTTGGACGGGGCTTTGAGCAACCTGGTCTAGTGGAAGGTGTCCCTGCCCATGGCAGGGGGGTTGGAACTAGGTGATCTTTAAAGGTCCTTTACAACACAAACCAGTCATTGATTCTATGATTCTATGATTGTGGTAACTTCCAAGCTGAGTTAAAATTTGTGTGATACGTTATGGACTTAATTTCGGTTCTGCGTCCAGCTGAAGAAAAGATAACTCACATAGATCTCTGTATTCAATTGGTGAGATATTTTGATAAGTATTATGACAACTGAGTGGCTTATCATTTGAATTGCTAAAATATGCCTTCCAAATGTTTCTCACAAGGACATAGTAACGAACTATAGGGAGAAGATAGACACTGAAACTTACATGTATATATGCTTAGTTTTATAAATCTAGGGGTAGGGAGAAATTTGATATTTTGACCCTATGTCTGTATTTATATTTTGGAACATCCACCTTCCTGCTGCATGGCAACGCCTTTTTAGAAGTGATATGAGGTAGAGGTGTTCTGGTCCAAAGAAGGCCTGCGTGAATGTTCTTTTATGGTTGATTGATTTGATTCCCCCAACTGAAAATTCCAACTGAAAAATAAATTCAGTGTCAATCAATTATTCAGCCTTCTCTTCCTTTCCCGGCCCTGCCCTGCCCTTCCCTTCCCTTCATCAACAGCAGGCTGGCAGAAAAACTAAAACATTCCTAGCTCAAGTCAATGCTGTGAGTTCCTGCTTGCACTGTGTTTACTCATTCCCTAAGATCCTTTGTAGTCCATAGATACTCAGTGTTGGGAACTGGCCCAGGTGAATCAATAGTTAACAAGTTAGAAAGTAGCAGTATATATAGACAAAGGCACTAGACATTCTGTATGTGCTTTCAGACACACTGAACTAGCCTTAACAACATTGATACATTTTAACAAAAAATATAGATTGTGGTATCAGGTTGTTCTGTCGTCTTAACTAAAAAATGTAATGCTATATTACTTAGTGGATAGCTGAGCAAAAAGGACTAAAATTCATTTCATGTCCAAAGCTCGGCATTTCTCGTGGGTTCAGAGCCCATTGTTGTGACCTCCTCAGTGTCAGCTGCAGGCGTACAGCTCAGGAGGACACAGCAATATTGACTGAGCTCCACAGAGAAGCATATAGTATAGGTCATAGAATATACAAACGTATGGCATGGTCTTCAGAGGAAATGAGCATCCTTAACTTTCATTTACTTAAGCAGTCAACATATACTCCGTTAGCAGCTCTGAAAATCAGGTCAGTAAGGTACTTCACTTGAAACCATAATCATTCTCTTCCTGTCCTGTAGCATATAAAAGGCTGTGTATAGAAAAACAAGAACATTTGCATCTTGTAAGCAAGTACGTGATAAGAATATTTGACTTTTTCGTCCAAAACATACTTGTAAAGTGAATATCGTAAGTTTGCAGGAGAGACTGTGTGAACCTCTCTGCTATAATTTAATGCTTCTGTACAAACTTAGCTATTTTTGGCATTAGGTCTTATGAAGATGAAGATATTACAGTATTATTGTTTCTTAATATGAATTATTTTGTATATGTGTTGGAACTTCAAGATTAATTTTATCGTTATCCCAATAATGTGTTTCAAAATGCACTGCCATAGTATTATCACCCAACCTGCATCTTTTTTATGCATAGTGGACCAGATCTTCTGTTTATGTAAATCACCATATTTTTTCTGAAGTTAGTTGTTGTGAGTAGTCTATGCCAGCTGTGGATACTCCTAGGGATGAGCAGAGAGTATAAGAAGTTCCTGACATGAATGCATGCAAACCTGTTTTTATCAGTATGGCGTTAGAACACTGTTGCCAGCAGTTTTTGAAAGAAGCATTGGTAGATTATTAAGATACACCAAGATACCAAGATACTAAGAGAAAATTTCAGGATATCTATCAAAATATGACAGTTCCTATGTTTCTAACGTGATAGCTCTATGATACTCTTTTTGAGCACTTGAAAGAGAGCGCTTACCTTTCAGAGTATCTCCAATATTTAATGCGAGAATTGCGTCAAAGCTTTGTATGACTTTTACTAGCTGTTTTCCTTTTAGAAAAGTTGTACCCTCTCTTTTTTTGTTTTAACAGGTACATCAGATCTGAGAGGTCAATAATTCTAATCAATTTCTGCCTGTCTATTATCTCGTCAAATATCCTTATCCTGGTTGGACAAACTCAGACGCATAACAAGGTATGATGATGGATTGTATTGAATTTGCACTTACATACTAATATCTTTGTTTTATTTGTGTTTAGCTTAAAATAATTACATCCATTTAGTCCTGTCCTCATAGGACTTGGCATTTTTGGTAAAATATTAACAGACATGGGAAAATATTTGCCGTCTTTCATAGTCTTTTTTTTGCCTCCAAAAATCCCTTTTGCTATAGTTCCCTCTGGATAAGCTGTGTTCTCTGTGGTAGACTTGTATGTTTTCTAACTAAATTTCAAAGCAAAAAAGTTCAAAGGCTCAAGATCAAAAGCACAAATTCTTGTTCATTATAATAGTTGTAATAGGATTGTGCTACAATGTTTTTGTCTTTTTATTAGCACACTGGTACTCGAAAGGCAAGTAGAAATTGCTTAGAAGTTAGAGTACTGCTTTTGAAAATGTGCAGAAACAGACATCATAACAAGCTATAGAACTGTTAAATCTCTGACAGATGCAACTATAAGAAAATAATAACCCTGCATACCTTACTTATTGATATATTGTTGATTTATTACTAATCTGTTCTCAGACTCTTTCTGAACATCTCTGTCATTTGTCCCTTTGCTGCAGAGCAGGGCTGTGTCAGTGTTTTGAAGCATCACCCAGTGCCTAGTGATGCTAGGCAACTTTCAAAATTGATAATAAGTGGTTGCTTGAAGTTAACTGTAGTTATGTGATAGCTTGGAATAGGGAATAGGATGCAGTTGGTGAATAGTGCAGTATGTGATAGAACGCTGTTAAGTTTTGGAGTGGGCAGCTATCTGTAAAGTAATTCTTTATCCCACTGTTTTAAACTGCTCATCTTAATCTTTCCAATATCCAGTGAAATACATTTATCATCTGCTATAGGATAACTGGTGTTTCTACAACACACTTACAATTAATCATTTATTCTTTTCAAATGAGCACTTAGAAATTTAGCTGTCAGAAGTCTCATAAATTCAATGCGAGTCACATAGCTGTACTTTGTAAAACATACCCAAAATAGTAATTTCCAACGCATAATTTAACAAAATTATTAAAATTAAGATGTTAATATGCTTTAAAGTTTTGAAAGTATGTAGAGGTGCAAACAAAAAAAATACGTATTTGCAGAAGAAACCCATATGACTCTTGCAGATTTTATTCAGGGGAAAAATGTCAGAAATGTGCAAGCAACTTCAGAGTGCCAGAGTGCAGAAGAAGGATTAAGTCTCTCTAGAATTTTAGCACTAACCTGCATAGTCATATATACTATTTTACTATGTATGTCAAGAAGGAGTGTGGTTCAGTAGCTGAAAGTTCCTGTGTATATTGCCACTGTGGAATCAGGGGCTGTGGGCATCAGAACAACTGTGTTTGATAACATGTTCCCTAGATGTGCTGGCAGCCCTTCTCTGATGCTTGTGACTCAGGGAACTCTGAACTAAAACACGCCCTTAATCCAGTTCCTTTCTTTTAGTCTAAATCTCCTTGATCTCTGTCTCTTCTGCTTTCTGAAATCCTGAAAGTACAGAGGTATTGTACTGACTTATTTCTGAGAAAAGCAGAATCTAAAAATGGAGATGTTCAGAGGAAATAATTGATGGAAAAAACCAACACATCACAAAGTTTATATTTTTAATATATGGCCTCAAAAATTATTTTAAAATACCACTTTTTACTACAGTTGTCTTCTTTTTGAATCTACTCTTGCTTTTGATACGCGTACTGTCCAGGAGGTTCTAGCAAGGGAGTACCTCTAAGGGATCAAAGGCAGAATACATTTTTTATACTGAGGAAGATACTCCTTGTTACAGACCAAAAGTCTTTTTATCACTATGTCCACTGATACGTGAATCTATTGCAGCTCCAAGAGACTAGACTTTGAATCCACCATCAGCAAAATGGCCAGCTAAAGCCATTATTTAGCAAAAGCTTATTGAAATTAAAGTAATAAAGTCCAGATAGGACTTCAGTATGTTTGCAAGTAAGGATGTCTTTTGGCATCATATCTGTTTGAATTCAGATTCTGAATTTTTTATTTTCAGAGATCATATGTGACCAGAAGAAGCCAGTGTTTGATTTTTAGTCCATAGATCTAGATTAAAATGGGAAGTTTAGAGAGAAAATCAGGTCATTACCTGTGGTTTAAGATGAAAAATATTTTAGATTTGTTTCTGATACTTTATTTAGAAATGTACTAGAAGTCAAACCATTTGGGTTTTTAGTGTTTGTTTCAAAGTTTTGGGAGAATTCCTGGGAATATTTTATCAAGACAGTGTAATATTCAAGTCAGCAGAAATTATTTCCTGAGTAAAGGCTGAGGTGGTGTTTTATGGCAAGAAGATGAGCTCATTTTTTTTAATGTGTTGGAGAAAATTTGAGAAATATGATATAGCAAGTTTGAGAGTTTATTTACTCTGGTCCATTCGCATTCTTATGGTCACACTATTCTCATATTATTGGGGCATTTAGCTGACATCCATATGATGCTGTTGATAGTGACAAAGTTGAAGAATGCCCTTTTATTCCGTGCTTTAGTTTGGCTTTTTTTCTGAGTTTACATTGTCCCCAGCTCTACATTTGTGTATATTCCCTTTGGGAATAGGTGCCTGTAAATATCATCAAAGCTGACTTGCAGTTTAAAGATGAACAGCATGTAAATTAAGCATACCAAAGATGTATTTATAACAAACAGCATATTGTCAGTCAGTTTGCAGTTTGTGGTTTTCTCTATCTGCATTAAACATTGCACCAAATACTTCTATCCACTTCAATGTTATTCAATCTCCAGGAAATTTGTGTCGTTCATTTTAGTATGCCTATTGACATCTGTGACAGAGAAAAATACTGAGTCTCTTGATCTGTGCAGGTTTTCTGTTAATTTCTTTCTATTTTATGTAAGTCATACATACTTAGCATGTTAAGTTTAGCTCTACTCTTTGAAGCCAGACTATATCCTCGATGTTTTTTACAAAAGCTTCTTTTAGTGAAGACTAAGTGAGCTTGAATATTGCACTCTCTTTGCTTCAATGAAGTCCTGCCTTTTTTTTTCAGTAAAAATGACTGTGGTACTTCCTACAGGCAGAAATGGACAAAATATTTACAGCAGACATGTAGAAGTACTTTAAATTCTTTCAAGCCACCATAGCTTTTCCATTTCTAATATTTCCTTTTTAAAAGCGATTTCTTTTCTTCAGTTTCAGTAACTCGAGGATACCAACATTAGACCAGAGTTCTAGGTCATGGGGCTTTTTAGCTTGCTTTAGAATAGTTCATGATAGGGGGCATGGAGGGGAGTATGGTTTCTCTTGGAAGATTTGGAATGAAATAGCAAAAAAGCCTTTTGTCAACAGAAAAGCCTTGCTCCTTTATTTCTTCTTAGCCAAACGTGTTGTGCATTTTGTTGAAGGACACAGCTGAGAAATGTTCTCCTTTTTTCAGTATGTTTCCCCAGACCTTTCAAAATGAAGAACTTTATTCAAAGCCTTCTTAATGTTTCAGACTGTGTAAGAGATTTGTGTTTTGTCAGATCCTGTTTTGAAATACAGGTCACTGAAGGCTGAATATACAAGAATATTATGAAGTGAATTATGTATCTTGTTTAAATATACTTGGTGTTGTACTAGGTATGAGAAGCATATTAATTCACTTTGGTATTTTTTTCTGTCTCTTGTTTTCTTTTTGCTGCTAAATGTTAGCTACATAATAATATTTAAATTTGAGGATATGCAATCGATACACTGGAGATAGCCCTTTAGCAGCTGAAATTAGTTGTAACGTGGAAATTAAGTCTCATGTATTAAGGAATTAACACTTTTCATGTTTAACCTGACTGGTCAAGTATCTGTTGTTTCCCGAATACTATGAGATGTTCCTAACATCTACAAAAGCAGATGTAAGCAAAAAAGTTTTTACTTTGAAGATACTGACAGCTTTCTTTGAGGAAATATCTATCATCGATTTGTAGGTTTCACTGTAACGTAACTCTTGCTATGTTAAGTTTCCTAATGTTGTTCTTACAATAATGAAAAATGGTTGTATTTCTTCTATATTTGGACCATTAACACTTAAGCTATAAATCTTTACTATTCTTTTGTTCTCATGTAATGAATAGATTCTCTACCCCAAAGAAGTTATTGATTAATATTATATGCATTTTTTCATAAATTCTCTTTCCTATTGCATACATTCAGAAAATACCTTGGTTTTTTTCACAGTTCTGCCTAAAGAAAAAGATATTAGCTGTTAGAGGTAAACAATTCTTGTTTACCTATTTTGCCTGTGAAGAAAACAAAGATGAATACAATTTAAAACAAACCATAGAATTCATTACACATATGGGCAAAAGTTAATTGTTTTCTGTATTATCTGTTTCCAAATATACTTAACAGTTTGTTGCTGGAGTTCTGGTGACTTGTGAGAAACAGGTCTATTTTTAGAAACATCGTAAGGCTCTTTACATTTTGTTAGCCATAATCAGTTTTATATATGCCTATCAAGAGAAGAACAGAGAAGACATTAAGGCACAAGGCAAGATGTACCAACCCTGATATTCTATCATCCCCGTTTAATTGCAGTATTCAGTTTATTGTGCTTACTATTACGTATGGAATTCGTCTCTTAGATCATAACTACAAGGATATGAAAAAAACATATCCTGACCACCTAAAGCACAGAACATAAACAATCAGTAGTGTTGATAAATGCATAGTAAACAAGAAAAAAACCCATAAAATTTTGTAGATAAAAAGATTAGAATGTTCACTAAATAGGCCAACTGGACAAAAATAACCCCACTTTAATCTTTTTTTAAATAGAGGTACTAAACTGAAAGAAGCAAATAGGTGGAAAGGAGTTGAGAAGCCACAGCATCCCATTCCCATAGCACTCTGAAGCAGCTGACTGTGTAACCAGGGCTCCCTCAGGTTTTGAGAAAAGGTGGGTGGTGGGATCCCCTGAGAACCCAGCAAATGTTCAGGTGGTACTAATGCTGCCTCTAACAGTGTGGCTCTTGC